AGAGAAATGCTTGAAAAAACACAACGATGGGGACATATCAGATGGACACAGGAGCTAACCGAAACACTACCGATAAAACAATTTGAGCAACAAAATGAATAATATAGTATTGGAATATAATCCAAAGTTGAAAATGTATGCTAATGAGTTTATACTGATATAAACAAATGCTTGAATGAGTAAATAAATGGGGCCAATAGGCAAATCTCCCATACAGAAGTATTCCAAGTAATTTATTCAGATATTTTACCTCAGGAAAGTGGAATATTACTCCCCAACCCTTAAGTGTGGGCTATGCATGGTGACTTTCTTCCACAAAATATATTATGGGAGGTAGAAAAAAAAAAACTGTACAATGGAGAGCCTGACAATCATAACCTTGGCCATGTGATCAAGGTTAACATCAACAGTTATCAGTTGTGTTGGTAGCATGTGCCCTTGATATGACTGAGGTGATAAGAGTGACACTTTCCCTCTGTGATCTTTTCCCAAAAAACTCACAACCCCAGTCTAACCATGTGAAAGATACCAGATAAACTCTAGTTAAGGGACATTCTATGAAACAGCTAACCAATATTCTACCAAACTGTCAAGATCATCAAAATCAAGGAAAGCCTGAGAAATGAACAGTCTAGAGGAGCCTAAGGAAACTATGTTTAATGTAGTATAACTATGTTTAATGTAGTATCCTAGGTAGGATAACTATGTTTAATGTAGTATCCTAGGTAGGATCCTGTGGGGATAAAGGACCTTAGGTGAAAAGAAAGGAAATCAGAATATAATATGAACTTTAGTTAATAATACTATATCAATATTGGGTTATTAGTGGTAACAAATAAATCGTTCTAAAGTAAGATGTTAGCAGTAGAGGAAACTGGGTGTGTGGTATGTGGGAACTCTTTTGTTCTATGCAACTTCTCTGTAAATCAAAAAACTATTATAAAAAAGTTTATTTTTAAAAAATGGGCAACAGATTTGAACAGATACTTCACCAAAGAAGACACACAAATGGCTAATAAGCACATGAAAAGATGCTCGACATCACTAGTCATCAGGAAATGCAAATTAAACCACAGTGGGATACCACTATGCAGCTGCTAGAAAGGCTGAAATTATAAAGACTGACAAAAAGAAGTGTTGGCAATGATATGGAGGAACTGGAATTTTTATACACTTCCAATAAGAATGAAAAAAATGGTACAACTACGTTGGAAAACAGTTTGGCAGTTTTATAAATTGATATGTACACTATCATATGACCAAATCATTCCACTCCTAGGTATTTACCCAAGAGAGATGAGCACATATATCCACATAAAGACTTGTACATAAATGTTTATAGCAGCTTTATTTGTAATAACCCCAAACTGGAAACAATACAAATATCTATTAACAAGTGAAAGGATAAGCCTATTTTGATATATCCACATAATGGAATGTTACAAATGAAAAGAAACAAACTACAGCAATACCATGGATGAATCTCAGAAACATTGTGCTTAGCCAGACACAAGAAAGTACATGCTGTGTATAGCACTTACATGAAATTATAGCAAATCTCAAGGGATAGAAAGCAGATCATCAGTTGCCTAAGACAGGGGAGCAGGAATTGACTTTGAAGGGCAAGAGAGGACCTTTTGGACAGATGAAATGTTCTGTATTTTGACTGTGGTGATTACATGGGTGTTTGCCTTTGTTAATACTCACCTAACTGTATATTTACAATGGAGAAGTTTATCTTACATAAATATACTTAAAACATTTTTTTTAATTGAGAAAGTCCTGGCCAGGATTCTCAGGATGGCTCTCTGAGATCCTTCAGGGATGACAAATTGTCTTCCTGACTCCATGGCCTTTCTACCCCATCCCATCCCATTCCCAGGTAGCAAGGTAGCTATTTGACATGTGCCCCTTAAAGATGGAAGGGTCCTGCTCAGGAAATCAGGTGATTTCAGAAGGCAGAATGATCGATGGGATAATCAATACTAGTAGGACTCAAAGAGATCTTGGGGTGTGCCTGGAAGAGAGAGGAGAAAAGAGACACACCTTTTCCAGTTGTCAATGACTCGCCTCAGAGGGCACAGAAGAAGATCTCAAGGTCTAACCTGAGCGCAGAGACTAGCAGACAGGTAGGAGGTGTAGAGCTTCCTGAGTGTGCCAAAACGATACACAGCTGCCCCTACATGGTGAGGGGGTGCTCTGTGAGGGGGCTAGTGCGGAACAAAATATGGTCTCAGGAAACCATGCATCTGGCTTTCACCGAGACTCCATAGCAGTAGATGCCATGGAAATAAGGTGGCCCCAGGTCAAGACCAGGTCTTCCTCCCACTACTGATGCTCTTGGGCAGGCACAAGAAGAGGATTTCTCTCCCCTGCTCTGTTTAGAGTTGGTGAAGGTAGAGTAGACAGTGTTAGTTCAGAGAGAGAAAGGTTGGAACTATGAATAGTGACAGCTAATAATATTGAATTTTGACAGAATTGTCAACAAAGAGAGCCTAAACCTCTAATAACTAGATTGGATTATAAATATCAGGGGACTAGACTAAGATTTAAACAAGAATAGGCCAAAAATATGCATGTTCTGTGTAGATTGGAAAATCAAAGTTTTGAGAATATAGCAACAAGCTTCATTTAAAAAAATATTTGCATTTGTACACCTCAGTCTGTTATGTTTATATATGAATAGTATTTTTATAATATACTGTTTTGTAACTTGCTATTTTCACTGGGCTACATATCAGGAACATTTTTCCATGACAGTATATAGTCTTCCACGACATAATTTTAAATGTCTATGCAGCTTTCCATCATTTAAACATACATATTTTACTTAACTAGTAACTTATTGTTGGACATTAAGGCTCTTCCAGTTTTTCAATGTTATAAATAAATTTGATAAAGCATCTTAGATGTATATCTTTTCACACAACTCTAATTCTTTCCATAAGATAAATTCACAGTTAAGGGATGGCTGAGACATAGGGTAATTCAAATTTTAAGGTTTTTAACACTCTTTAGAATGTTTGTAGTAGTCTTTGGTGGGACTAATGGTGGACTCTGGGAGGGCTCATGCCAAGGAGTACTTCCCAGAACTTCTGCTGGCAGTGTCCTTGTCCCTGCGGTGAGACACAGCTACACCCCCTCTGCAGGAGACCATCCAACACTAGCAGCCGTGTGGCTGACAGTGTCTTGGTGCACTGGATGGGTGTCAGTCCTGAGCCTCTGAGGTGGGAGAGCCAAGTTCAGGACATTGGTCCACCAGAGACCACCCAGCCCCACGTAATATCAATCAGCCAGAGACCTCCCAGAGATCCCCATCTCAATGCTAAGACCCAGCTCCACTCAATGACCAGCAAGCTCCAGTGCTGGACACCCCAAGCCAAACAACTAGCAAGACAGGAACACAACCCCACCCATTAGCAGAGAGGCTGCCTAAAATCATAATAAGTTCATAGACACCCCAAAACACACCACTGGACATGGTCCTGCCCACCAGAAAGACAAGATCCAGCCTCATTCACCAGAACACAGGCACCAGTCCCCTCCACCAGGAAGCCTACACAACCCACTGAACCAACCTTACCCACGGGAGGCAGACACCAAAAACAACGGGAACTACGAACCTGCAGCCTGCGAAAAGGAGACCCAAAAACAGTAAGTTAAGCAAAATGAGAAGACAGGCAAACACAGGGCAGATGAAGGAGCAAGGTAAAAACCCACCAGACCAAACAAATGGACAGGAAATAGGCGGTCTATCTGAAAAAGAATTCAGAGTAATGATAGTAAAGATGATCCAAAATCTTGGAAACAGAATGGAGAAAATACAAGAAACATTTAACATGGACCTAGAAGAACTAAAGAGCAAACAATGATGAACAACACAATAAATGAAATTAAAATTCCCTACAAGGAATCAAGAGCAGAATAACTGAGGCAGCACAGATAAGTGACCTGGAAGGTAAAATAGTGGCAATAACTATTGCAGAGCAGAATAAAGAAAAAAGAATGGAACGAATTGAGGACAGTCTCAGAGATCTCTGGGACAACATTAAATGCACCAACATTCGAATTATAGGGGTCCCAGAAGAAGAGAAAAAGAAATGGACTGAGAAAATATTTGAAGAGCTTATAGTTGAAAACTTCCCTAATATGGGAAAGGAAATAGTCAAGTCCAGGAAGCACAGAGAGTCCCATACAGGATAAATCCAAGGAAAAACACGCCAAGACACATATTAACCAAACTATCAAAAATTAAATACAAGGAAAAAGTATTAAAAGCAGCAAGGGAAAAGCAACAAATAACATACAAGGGAATCCTTAAAAGGTTAACAGCTGATCTTTCAGCAGAAACTCTGCAAGCCAGAAGGGAATGGCAGGACATATTTAAAGTGATGAAAGGGAAAAACTTACAACCAAGATTACTCTACCTGGCAAGGACCTCATTCAGATTCAACAGATAAATTAAAACCTTTACAGACAAGCAAAAGCTAGGAGAATTCAGACCACCAAACCAGCTTTACAACAAATGCTAAAGGAACTTCTCTAGGCAGGAAACACAAGAGAAGGAAAAGACCTACAATAACAAACCCAAAATAATAAGAAAGAGGAAGATTTTTGCACTACACTGGAGAGGGGGAGCCGCGGAGCCAACACGCCACCCTGCACCGCTGCCGCGCCCACCCCAGCCCGGCCAAGCCCCGCCCCGCCCCGCCCCGCCCCGCCCCGCCCCGCCCCACGGCTACGCAATGAGCCTGAGCCTGAGTCGGCCTGCCGGGGAGTGAGCGCGGCGCGGAGGGCACGTTGCGTAGCTGCTCCTGCGCACAACCCGGCCGGCGGCCCGCACCGGCAGGAGTGAGCGCCGGTCCGCACCCGACCGGTGCCGGAGCCGAGCGGAGCCGGAAGCGCAGGCCGTGCAGGGACCCAACTGAAACAAAGTGTCGGCCACCGGCTGCACGGCACCTCATCGGCCTTGCCCCACGCCCCCAGCTCCACTGCCCACCATGGCCTCCGAGGAGCTGTACGAGGTTGAAAGAATCATTGACAAAAGGAAGAACAAAAAAGGGAAGACGGAATATTTGGTCCAGTGGAAGGGTTACGACAGCGAGGACGACACCTGGGAACCAGAGCAGAACCTGGTAAACTGCGAGGAGTACATCCACGACTTCAACAGGCGCCACACCGAGAAGCAGAGGGAGGGCCCCTTCACCAGGGCCAACCGGGCCTCCCCGAACAACGCTAGGAAGCAGATTTCCAGGTCCACCAACAGCAGCTTTTCCAAGGCCTCTCCTGAATCGCTAGTGGTTGGCAAAGAGCACGAGCCCAAGGCCAGCCCGCTGTTTGCTGCCAGCCAGAAGTTCAGGAAGGACCCAGCCCCGTCCCTCTTGAACCGGAAGAACATGGACCTGGCCAAGTCAGGTATAAAGATCCTCGTGCCCAAGAGCCCCATCAAGAGCAGGAGCGCGGTGGACGGCTTTCAGAGCAAGAGCACCGAGAAACTGGACCCCGTCGAGCAGGGGCAGGAGGACACGGTGGTGCCGGAGGCGGCGGCCAAAAAGCCCGTAGGAGCTCTGTTGGGCCCCGTTGCCGAGCGTGCGCAGATGGGGAGCTGGCCCCTGATACACCCGCTGGTGCCGCAGGTGTCCGGCCCTGTGACCGCGGCTATGGCCACAGGGCTAGCCGTGAACGGGAAAGGTTCCTCCCCATTCATGGACGTGCTGAACGGGAAAGTTTCCTCCCCATTCATGGACGTGCTGACGGCCAACGGGATGACCAACCTGCAGACGTCAGTCACGGGCGTGACGGCCGAGAAGAGGAAATTCATCGATGACAGACAAAACCAGCCCTTCGACAAGCGGCTGCGTTTCAGCGTGAGGCAGACGGAAAGCGCCTACAGGTACAGGGACATTGTCGTCCGGAAGCAGGACGGCTTCACCCACATCCTGCTGTCCACGAAGTCATCTGAGAACAACTCTCTGAACCCAGAGGTGATGAAGGAAGTGCAGAGCGCCCTGAGCACGGCCGCTGCTGACAACAAGCTGGTGCTGTTCAGCGCCGTGGGCAGCGTCTTCTGCTGCGGCCTTGACTTCATCTACTCCATCCGGCGCCTGACCAACGACCGGAAGAGAGAGAGCACGAAGATGGCCGAGGCCATCAGAAACTTTGTGAATACTTTCATTCAGTTTAAGAAGCTTATTATTGTAGCCGTAAATGGCCCAGCCATTGGACTAGGAGCATCCATCCTGCCTCTCTGTGACGTAGTTTGGGCCAATGAGAAGGCTTGGTTCCAAACACCCTACACTGCCTTTGGACAGAGTCCAGATGGCTGTTCCACCGTGATGTTTCCCAAGATTATGGGAGGAGCATATGCGAATGAAATGCTGCTCAGTGGACGGAAGCTGACGGCGCAGGAGGCGTGCGGCAGGGGCCTGGTCTCCCAGGTGTTCTGCTCTGGGACCTTCACCCAGGAAGTCATGGTCCGCATTAAGGAGCTCGCCTCCTGTAACCCGGTCGTGCTCGAGGAATCCAAGGCCCTGGTGCGCTGCAACATGAAGCTGGAGCTGGAGCAGGCCAACGAGCGGGAGTGCGAGGTGCTGAAGAAGATCTGGGGCTCAGCCCAGGGCATGGACTCCATGTTCAAGTACCTGCAGAGGAAGATCGACGAGTTCTGACGGCCGGGCTGCCCCAGACAACCCTGTAGTCGCATCGCGCAGGCCGGCTGGGGCTCCCTGGGGTGCGGACCCACCCTCACAGCCTGAAACAGGTTCACGTGGAGCTCACTCTTGGAAGCAGGACTTGAAACAGCCAAGCTATTTATTACCAAGGAGTTTTTAAGTACTGTAACTTTAAAATAAATACTACAAAGCTTGTCCAAACGTCATTATTTTATACTTAATACACACACAGGTATAAAAGTATAATTGTGAGCTCTGGGCTGCTCTTTGAGGCTCTACTTTTTGTTATCTTTGGCTAGTACTGCATAAAAAAGAAGTGTGTTTTCCTGGTTTGGGTGTCAGAAAAGTCTGGAATAATGTTTGTTTTCCTTGTTTTTTCCTTCTAGAAAACAGAATCTAAAGAGGTGTTAGCCCCCCCCCCCCCAAATAGAAATACGGAAAGATCTGAGGCATGCCCTTGTCTCCAGGAAGGTACAAAACGTCAGCGATGGAAACTTCTCAATCGAAAGGAACACTTATTCTTTTAGGATAAGTATTTCTGATTAAACACCCACTGCTGAATATACCCCCAGACTAAAACACACTTAGGATTCATGCTGAGAAATCAGTTGATTCTGCCTTCTTTCTTAAATATGTCCGATTCTTACCCAGTTAACAGGAAGAAACCACTCTCTCTCTAGGGGAAAGCTTGTTTTGCAGTGTTAGCAAATCACTGAATAGCTAAGTATGATCTCTAAGTTATAGGGGGTTTATAATTAGTTTTTCTGACCCATTTGAAAAAATAACTATATAAGTGCTTCTTGTTACTGGGTGAGAACTACTTTATATACAGTTTTGGTTTTCTATTTGCAGATATGATTGATATATTACACCAAAAATAAAGTATTTTTATGTTTATAAAGTGTAATTTTTCAGTTCACTTAGAATATATTTTATTTAATAAGTTAAAATTCTTTTGGCACACTATTAAATGCAGAAACTCCTTTTTAAGATAAAAAAATACCTTATATTGACGTTTAATGTTCTTGGTCTCTGCTTTCATGTCTACACAATATACCAAGTACAGGATTCTGTCTGAGAGTGCCCTGTGTAAATAGACGTCCGCATTCCTGGCAGGAGTGGGGACTGATTCCTGATTCCAAACACCTATCATTCGGTAGGCTTCTGAGCTTGCAATCATATTGAATGTATGAAGAATGAAATAAAATCAAAGCCTTATTTTTGTACAGTTTTGAAGTTTATACTTAGAACCGACCACCTCCTGGCCTTGTGGAGAGCTGTACAGAGTGTAAATCTGCCTTTACCATGCATTGGCTGGTGCAGTATTTTTGCATCTGTGGGACCTACTTTTTTGGTTCAGTAGTTTGAACTATATATAAACTGTACAATCTGTAAAGTTTTTATAGAATAAATATTCAGCTGTGAAAACTGGTTAAATAAAACTAATATTTCTTAACACACACACACACAAATAATAAGAAAATGGTAACAGGAACATGCATATCGATAATTACCTTAAATGTAAATAGATTAACTGCTCCAAACAAAAGACATAGACTGGCTGAATGGATACAAAAAGAAGACCTGTATATGTGATGTCTACAAGAGACTAACTTCAGACCTAGGGACACATACAGACTGAAAGTGAGGGGATGGAAAAAGATATTCCATGCAAATGGAAACCAAAAGAAAGCTGGAGTAGCAATTCTCATATGAGACAAAATAGACTTTAAAATAAAGACTATTACAAGACACAAAGAAGGACACTACATAATGATCAAGGGATCAATCCAGGAAGAAGATTTAACAATTGTAAATATTTAAGCACCCAACATAGGAGCACCTCAATACGTAAGGCAAATGCTAACAACCAAAAAAGGGGAAATGGACAGTAACACAATAATAGTAGGGGACTTTAGCACCCCACTTTCACGAATCAGAAAGGTGATTTGGGAAGGGTGATTTGTGTTTCCTTGTGATAAGGAAACACAAGCTTTAAATGACACATTAAGCAAGATGGACTTAATTGATATTTACAGGACATTCCATCCAAAAACAACAGAATACACTTTCTTCTCAAGGACGCATGGAACATTCTACAGGATAGATCATATCTTGGGTCACAAATCAAGCCTCGGTAAATTTAAGAAAATTGAAATTATATCAAGTATATTTTCCAAACACAATGCTATAAGACTAGATATCAATTACAGGAAAAAAGAACTGTAAAAAATACAAACACATGGAGGCTAAACAATACACTACTAAATAACCAAGAGATCACTGAAGAAATCAAAGAGGAAATAAAAAATACCTAGAAACAAATCACAATGAAAACACGATGACCCAAAACCTATGGGATGCAGCAAAAGCAGTTGTAAGAGGCAAGTTTATAGCAATACTATCCTACCTCAAGAAAAAAGAAAAATCTCAAATAACCTAACCTTACACTTAAAGCAATTAGAGAAAGAAGAACAAAAAAACCCCAGAGTTAGCAGAAGGAAAGAAATCATAAAGATCAGATCAGAAATAAATGAAAAAGAAATGAAGGAAACAATAGCAAAGATCAATAAAACTAAAATCTGGTCCTTTGAGAAGATAAACAAAATTGATAAACCATTAACCAGACTCATCAAGAAAAAAAGGGAGAAGACTCAAATCAATAGAATTAGAATTGCAAAAGGAGAAGTAACAACTGACAATGCAGAAATACAAAGGATCATGAGAGGTTACTACAAGCAACTATATGCCAATAAAATGGACAATCTGGAAAAAATGGACAAATTCTTAGAAGAGCACAACCTTCCGAGACTGAACCTGGAAGAAATAGAAAATATAAACAGACCAATCACAAGCACTGAAATTGAAACTGTGATTAAAAATCTTCCAACAAAAAAAATCCCAGGACCAAATGGCTTCACAGGCGAATTCTAACATTTAGACAAGAGCTAACACCTATCCTTCTCAAACTCTTCCAAAATATAACAGAGGGAGGAAAACTCCCAAACTCATTCTACGAGGTCACCATCACCCTGATACCAAAACCAGACAAAGATGTCACAAAAAAAGAAAACTACAGACCAATATCACTGATGAACATACATGCAAAAATCCTCAACAAAATCCTGGCAAACAGAATCCAACAGCACATTAAAAGGATCATACACCATGATCAGGTGGGGTTTATTCCAGGAGTGCAAGGATTCTTCAATATACGCAAATCGGCGTCTGGGAAGATGGCGCAAGAGTAAGACGCGGAGATCACCTTCCTCCCCACAGATACACCAGAAATACATCTACACGTGGAACAACTCCTACAGAACACCTACTGAGGGCTGGCAGAAGGCCTCAGACCTGCCAAAAGGCAAGAAACTCCTCACGTACCTGGGTAGGGCAAAAGAAAAAACAGAGACAAAAGAATAGGGACGGCACCTGCACCAGTGGGAGGGAGCTGTGAAG